GTATTTGCAATGACTACGCCGTACAGCGTACTGTTGCATGCGACTTGAGGGGCTGGATCCGCACTTTTGCCTGAGATATTGCGAAGTGATGAAGTTGGCCACTCACATCGCAACCACTGCATGCCCGCCTAGAGTCGGCAACATCTTCACCGTTACGGATACGGAGCTCATATGACCTTCTCGAAGTATACGTAGGTACAGCGAAGGATTGCGTACCTGGCCTAAGGATGTTGCCATCCGTCCCGCGCGCCACGTTGGATGCCTTGGAGTCCTGACCCAGGCGTCCATGATCTTCGCCGCAAGAAACACCGATATGAGGCTGCGAGTGGCACCTATGCGGCGCTGTAGCTCACTATCCGACTTACTGAAATACTGCGACGGGATCTATGGACGATATAGACGCTCGTTTGCAAGGCTGTGTCGACTTCGCATCTCGGAATAGCACGGGGCGTAAGTTGAGCCACAATGTCTGCTTGGCTCGCTAGCTGCGCCTCACACCGCCCGACTATTATCGTGCCATACATTTGTAATGTGGTTCCGCTTTTGACTTCAACTCTTCGTGCGATATGCAGCAATCCTTTTGTGACATACTTCGACTTGCACAAGCACGCGCGCTGTGGTTCAAAAGCGAAACGAGCCTCTCGGGGTCATCTAGTGCGGATCCACTGGCACCCGGCCTCGCAAATGCTGCCCCTCGAGTGATATACGGGTCGATCTAAAAGTTACGCTTGCTGAGAACGGGTTTTAGTAGATCAAAACTTCTGAGCTACAAGGTCACGATGAGCGTTCCGACCAAGCAGTCGGTAGCCTATGCCGGATCGGTGCCAGTCCGACCGCCTATCGAGAAAGACGCATGCATGCAAACGCAATTCTCAACATCGTCTAAGCTCGCCAACAATCTTTAATCTCCTGCAAATCCTCGAAGCTAGACCACATATCTCAGAAGCAGATGTGGAGTTTGCAGCCTCGCGTTCCGATTCTCCAGGCTAGCTCGAGCGACTAGGCCGCATGTGACGCGCTAGTGTGAACCCTTGGGAATTGCCAAGCACGTTACATGTAGCGTGGTAGCTTGCGTCAAACCCGGGGAAGACATTACGCATCACCAACCAGCCCGCCCATCGCCTCCCCGTCCTTTCCTATCGTCGACCCCAAATCCTACCGGAAGTCGTGCTGCACATCCTCGCGCCGGCACCTATTTATCCCTGATCCTCTTATTGGCACCGAGTGCCGGAAGCGCGCTTTGAGCCCCAACACGTAGGCGACAGGCGGCTGGCCTAGTGCTGTGTAGCCGTCGCATAGCATTATTTATCCCCAAAATGACGGGGTTCAACCTCTTCCACATCCTCGGCGACGTCTCGCATACGTCATCGAAGCTCATACTGATATGGGCGATACACTCCAACAGCAGTGCTGAGGGTGAGATGAATCTAATCACCACTTGAAGCTTGCAGCATGGGCTGACGTATGCAGGTGTATCCCTCATCACCCAGGTCCTCTACGCGCTCGTCTTCGGCACGCGATATCTCGACATCTTCAGCTCTTCCATCACCAAGGATGGGTGGCATACGTGGAACTTCTCGCTGAAGGTACGGAGGCCCGGCATACGTCTACGCGTACGCGGCTAACCGGTCAGATATTCTACACGCTGTCATCGCTATACATCATCTTCCTGATGACAAGTGTATACGCGCGCACACGGGAGCGAGAGAAGGCATGGAAGTTTGGCATGTACTGTCTGCTAGGCAGCATCCTCATCACCCCATTCTGGTACCTTATGTTTAGGGATCACGTTCTCGGGCACAGCACCTTTATGAAGGTAAGATGCTTACACCCCCTCAGAAACTCGACTAGATGCTGACAAAATAGATTCTTTGGGTCTTTTCCGAAATCCTCGAATCTGTCTGCGTCATCCCACAACTGCTCCTCCTCCGTCAAACAACCGTACCTACCGTCATCGACTCCTACTACCTAGTCACACTAGGTACATACCGCGCCCTATATGTTCTCAACTGGATCATGCGCGGCGTCAAGGAAGACGACTATCTCGATCCTACATCGTGGGTCTGGGGTTCTATTCAGACGGCTCTCATGATCGACTTCGCATGGGTATACTACACGCGCCAGCGTGTGAAGCTCCGACACGGCGGCGTAGTGGACTCAGAGGATCTGGGCCGCGGATGGATCGTGGGCCGGTTCGTGGGCAGGAAGAGCATGGACTTCGACTATGACGAGGAGACCGCTGGACAGCGCAACGATACCACACAACCGAAGAACAAGTGGGGTCGGAGAGGAATCTCCGTCTCTGCGGATGAGGGCGTAGAAGGTGCGCCGAAGAGGAGCAGTCCAGAGGGAAGGAATGTGGACCCAGAAAGTCAGCCACTGGCCGATCCAGCCGCGTTTGAGGACGAGAGCGATGACGATGCGCCACCCCCTGGCGCTGCTGCTTCAGCGGCCGAGCAGAGTGGTGTGAGGAGGGATGAATGGGACGACGATTTGGATGATGATGCTAGTGAGCATGACGCCACGTCCAAGGCCGTCAGATGAGTCCACAAGCATGTTACTTAGATGGGAAGTATGGGATCATACTCATTTGGGCACGACATCATCGCTCTACCTCATTGCGTTGTCTGCATTTTTACAGCGAATTCACAGTATACATTACAACTTTCAAACCAACTCTCCGCGCGTCCACAGGGGGCCCTGGGAACGAAGTCGCATCATGCCCCGCTCAGCTGATACACCCGTGTGACCTCCTACCTTCACGTATACACACACTTCCTTAAACACTTAGTCCACCCTTCGCGCAACACTAGAACTATCCTGGAAGCCCTGCATTTCCAGACCCCACGTACGAAAACCCCCGTTTCACGCTCCCGTGGTTTCGGCGACTACAATCCTGCTAGACGCCGACTCCCATTCATCCATGTCCTTTGACGCGTTATTCCCGTTGCCCGGCCCCCACGTCCAGCTGCCGCATAGTAGACCTTTCTGGTTTTGTGATGCGTTGCAGATGTGCTGGGCACGTGTGTTGCCATGCGTATGCGCGAGTGGGTACTTGAAATAGCTGGGTCCGGGGTCTTCGGTTACCGAGGAGGTGGGAGGATTCGGGTTGCAGGATGCAGAAAGAAGGATGAGGGATGGCGTTTGGGGCTGAAGGAACATGGAGATGAGATACTGGTGTAAAATGGGTGTTTGGGGATAAAGATAGTCATGGGCTACTGGATTGGTGCGTGGGGAACTTTCGGAAGGCTTGGGGTGTCACGAGTGTGCAGAAGTCCTGATGAAACCTCTCTGGCACGATCGCAATACATGGTATTTCTGCTCCACCGCTATTGCTTCCTCTCGATAACTCGTACAGCCCCCGGATACTTGATCTCCAACATCTTGAACATCTCGTCGTCGTGATAGACCCATCCTCCCGGTGGCACAAAGTCACCGATACCGCTCAAGTCGATGTTCTGCCTCAGGGCAAATGTCTGAGCAAACCCCGGAGGTCGTTGTTCACTCGCTAGGGCGAAAAGCTGCATAACGGCACGATCCCTGAAGTAACAATGCTCTGCGCGAGCTCGATCAGCGAACGCGTATTGATGGCGCAGGACACGGCTTTTAAGCACTGTCATCTTGATGGTGTAGTGGTCGAATGGAGGGAATGGGCCGGGCGACGGCAGAAAAATTGTGTTCCTAATGGACGTCGTAACTTCGAACCCGGCATAGTCGAAGGAATGATCTTGGAACGGCGGCGGTTCGATACCATGCGTGTCGAGGTGTATTACCCATGAGTGTCTGTCGCCTATCAATCTCTTTCTCATCATCTTTGATCTTGGACCGCTGGCTCCTGGATCAGTGCTGGCGTCTAAGTGAAGCGCGTCCTGGAAATTAACGGGCGCGATGCTGATACCAATGTTGTCCCACACCTTCAGTGTGCGGTCCGCTGCTATGTCCGCAACGTGCTTGAGTAGATAGCCCTCTTGCAAGATGAAGGTCTGGTACGCAAACACCGAATACGCCTTATTCCATGTGATGAAATTGACATCGCTTGTAAATGCAGCGTTCCTTATTCGGGAAAACGGAGGTGTCTCTAGCTCGACAATTGCCACGCGTCGCAATCCCTTGGAGTTTGTACGGACCATGATCGGGTGCTAAAATTTGGGGTTGGCTATGTTGGCAATTAAGATACCTAGGTAGAGTGGGCAATGGAGGACTCACGTTTGGTATAGACCTTGTGCCTGTGAGCTGGTACCCTTCGCTCACGAGAAAGGATTGTAGAGCTTGGCCGTGTGCTCCTTGTTGAACGAGAAGTTCATGTAATAAGAATGCATCAACTTCTTGTAAGCTGGTGTTCAAATGATCTCTTGACATGAAGCCGAGCGCGAAGGTACCGCCAATGACGATATTGTGCTTCGCCTGTAGCGAACGAAACGCCTTCGGGTTCTTAAAGAAGCGCTTTAGTCTTTCGTTAACATCAAACTGCGTGCGTTCCACTATACCAACACATCCACTGAGCGCCTTGGTAGTCCGAGAAAGTGCAACGATGTCGCGGATGTTGAGATAGCATAACACGCTGTCTTGGACTGGCGTGAAGCGCGCCAATAGATCAACTAGGCCTGTGCAGTGGAGAGGAATCTCTTGACGGCAGGTCTTGCAATTTGTGTGTAACTTTGGCGGTTCTGCATCGTCTAGCGGTATGCTCGTCGTGTCCGGAGTTTGGGGAGGCATTCTTGTAGCTGTATTCAATCGTCTACGGATGTGGAAGAGTTGGATACGGACAATCGAGGAGTAAATCTAGCGGACTATATCGTCTCTTCTATATACGTATTGAGCTTGCTGCTCAAGCAGCCTTTCGATTTGTTGTATTGTCATTCTACCTCAGCAATCTATGCGGCTTCCTTCTCCTTTTTCATCTGATCCATAGCCTCAGCATCCGTCCTATGCGTTCTGGATTCCCTCGCCTTGACTCGATTGACAAACATCTCATCCAAACCCTCGTCGAGCTGAATGTTCTACAACACATCATCCACTTCATCGATAATCTGCACCTTGATACTCCCGTTGCTCAAATCTCCACACGTATGCAACGCATCCAGCGCCTTCTCCAACGGAAACGTATGACTGACAAGCGGCTTGAGATTAAGGATACCACCCGCCAGACACTGAAGGCCAGAAGGCCAAGTATCGCGGTAGCGATTAATGAACTTGAGATCAATCTACAGCAGTGTCAGCAAACCCAGCTCCAAACTTGCTCGTAGACGTGAGTACGATGAAGTGCAGTCCACATACCTCAGCAAGACTCAAATGCATAAACGGAAGATTATTCATAATCTCCCTCCCAACTCCAATAACCATGACCGTACCCCCTCTCCTCGCCGTATACGCAGCAGTAATAACACTGCTCTCCACACCCGTACACTCCAGCACAGTCTCGGGTGCACCATATTCACCCACGTTCTCGAAGTCGAACAACTCTCTAATCTTCTTCGCATTGCCTTGCGCATCTAGATTGCGATCGACCTGGTATGTCAAGGCCGATGGTACGAATTGCTTTGCGAATGCCAGGCGCTTAGGCTCAAGATCTGTGATGACGAGCGGATGCGCTCCGCTTGCTCTCGCTGCGGCGAGCGCAATGAGACCGATAGGGCCTGCGCCGCAGATTACTGCACCGCGTCCGAGAGACAGGCCGGCGGATTTGATACCGTGCATGACGACGGAGAGTGGTTCGAGAAGTGCGCCTTCGGCGTAGGATACGCTGGAGGGGAGTTTGTGGCACCATTTTGCAGGATGCGTTTTGTAGCGTTGGATTGTGCCGTGGTATGGGTAGACGCCGGCGAATTGGACGTCTTCACAGAGGTTGTAGCGGCCGTCCATACAGAGGAAGCATGTGCCGCATGGCACGCCGGGTTCGACAGCTACGCGATCGCCTGTAGTATATGTTAGTATCGATCTTTCAACACGAAGAAGTGTATCTACCAGGCTTCAAAGTCGTAACACCCTCGCCGCATTGTAGAACTATGCCGGCCGCTTCATGGCCGAGGATACAGTCTCCTTCGACAACGAGCGAGCCTATTCTCCCAGCTTTCCAGAAATGGATGTCAGATCTTGTGGGCTGTCAATAGTCTGAATATGCCCGTGACGCTGAACATTCTTACCCACAAACACCCGTAGCTTTGATATGTAATAGTACCTCTCCCTTTGCTGGCGCATACACAGGCGCTTCTTGTAGCTTCAGATTATGGTCCGCGGTGACTTGTAGCGAGGGATTTGACAGCGGTGTCTTGATAGTAGGTTTCGGTGTCGCATGTGCTTCGGGAGCGGAAGACGCATCTACCAGTGCTGGGGTCATCTTTACTTGTCGCGGTGTGAAGTTCGATCACCGCCAGTAAGAGCAACTGCTGTCAACTTGGGGGAGAAGAGTAGCGATGCATGAATTAGCCCCACATGTTCAGCGCGCCGAATTGCCATTCTTGCCAGAGTGGAAATCCCATCCCTCAGCCTGGAGACCGGAATGCGCAATAGTCGTGGCAAAATGCGGGGAAATCTCCAGCGGGACTGACAACGTAGTGTGCTGGTGGCTATGGTTACCGTATTCGACTAGCCTATAGCCTTGTCGCCCAATAGGAATTGAAGACACCGAGCCTGCCTCCGCAATGGCGACGCGTCGGATTACCGAATCTGGCATGCCCGGCCAAATGTTCTGGATAGACGTCGAGGATTAGTTTTCAGTACAGCACGCGGTGTACTTATGTATGATGCGCCTCCTGATGTTGTTTGATCTGTAGAACTACTAATGTTTGTATTGTGAAGTTCGCAACTCGCAAGTTTCCGCACAACCTCACATAATGCATACCTCGCAAGATTCACCGCAGGTCAGCGGCTCGACCGGTTACGGCAAGAATGTCGTAGATGGACTGAAGAAAGAGGCGAAACTGGAACAGTCGTCTGTCCAGAAGTTGTCAAAAGAGCAGGATCATGTCTTGAAAACATTCAGACTACTCATTGCAGATCTATGTCAGCAGTTCAATGGCGGACATCCCGGGTAGGTACCAATCAGTACTTGTTGTAGCAAAGCTGATGATGCAACAGAGGAGCTATTGGTATGGCAGCAATCGGTGTCGCGTTGTGGAAATATGTCATGCGATATGCACCACATACACCTGACTACTTCAACCGAGACCGATTCGTCCTGTCAAATGGTCACACTTGTCTTTTCCAATACACCTTCCTTCATCTCACAGGCTACAAAGCCATGACTTTCGACCAGTTGAAGTCGTACCACTCAGAGCGCGTCGACGCGCTGTGCCCAGGACATCCCGAGATCGAACATGAAGGTATCGAGGTGACGACTGGCCCGTTAGGACAGGGTGTAGCCAATGCGGTCGGACTGGCGATGGCGACGAAGAATCTCCAGGCAATTTACAACAAACCGGATTTCGACGTTGTGTCGAATCACACATGGTGTATGATCGGCGATGCATGTCTGCAGGAGGGTGTTGCTCTGGAAGCGGTCTCTTTTGCTGGCCATTTGAAGCTGAACAATCTCACAATCATCTACGACAACAACCAAGTCACCTGCGACGGTTCCGTCGACCTTACCAATACCGAGGACGTCAACGCCAAGATGGCTGCATGCGGTTGGGATATCATTGACATTGAGGATGGATGTTTCGACATCGAGGGCCTTGTCGAAGCTCTGAATAAAGCGCGATCATCCACCGAAAAGCCGACATTCATCAACGTTCGGACAGTGATTGGTCTTGGTAGTGCTGTCGCAGGCGATGCCACTGCACATGGTATGGCATTTGGAGCAGCTGATGTAGCTAACATGAAGAAAGCGTACGGCTTTAACCCTGAGGAACATTTCGTTGTCAGCGAAGAAGTGCGCGAGTTCTTCGGAGACATTCCAGCGAGGGGCGAGGAGCTTGTAAAGTCGTGGGAGAAGAAAGTAGAAGAGTATCAGAGCAAGCACCCGGAGGAGGGCGCTGATTTCAGACGCCGAGTCGAAGGTCGTCTGACGGACAACTGGAAAGATTTGGTCCCAAGTTCGTTTCCTGAGGCGCCCACAGCGACAAGGAAAGCGTCAGGCCTTGTCTTCAACACGATTGCTGAGAAGATCAACAACTTTATGGTCGGCACCGCTGACCTCACGCCTTCAGTCAACATGAATTGGAAGGGCAAAGTCGACTTCCAAAATGTAAGCTATGCTCATCCAGTTGGAAGCGCCATTGCTAACTCCACATAGCCCGACCCGAAGACCACATGTGGCATTGTCGGTAACTACAGCGGACGCTATATCCACTATGGTGTGCGAGAGCATGCCATGGCCGCCATCTCCAACGGTTTGGCAGCATACGCACCGAACACTTTTATCCCCGTTACATCTTCTTTCTTCATGTTCTACCTTTATGCAGCCCCGGCTGTTCGCATGGGTGCGCTGCAACGCCTTCAGGTCATACATGCGGCGACGCACGACAGTATCGGTATGGGCGAAGATGGCCCAACCCATCAGCCGATCGAACTTGCCAACCTCTACCGTGCCATGCCCAATATATTGTACATTCGACCGGCCGATAGCGAGGAGACGGCAGGCGCGTGGATCACGGCGATCGAGGCGAAGAATACACCGAGCATCATCTCGACATCTCGGCATACTCTTCCTCAACTACCGCAAACGAGGCGAGAACTGGTTGCGAAGGGCGCATACGTGATCGAGGAGGTGGAGGATGCGGACGTGACGCTTATCGGTGTCGGTGCAGAGCTGCATCATGCTGTCGATACGGCGAAGGAGCTTAAGGCGAAGAAAATCAAGGCGCGTGTCGTGAGCTTCCCGTGTCAGCGACTGTTCGATGCGCAACCCACACAATACAAGCGGGACACGCTGCGAAGGCATCGAGGTATTCCGGCTGTCGTCATCGAGCCGTTCGCGCCGAACGGGTGGGAGAGGTATGCCGATGCGGCTTGCTGCATGAAGCGCTTCGGGCACAGCTTGCCGGGCAAAGCTGCTTATAAATACTTCGGATTCGATGTGCCTGCGTTGACGGCCAAGGTGGAGAGCTACTTGCAGCAGGTGCGCGACGATCCGCTGCTGAAGGGTGAGTTTGTCGATTTGTGAGGCTAGTGTAATGACAATTGAGGAATCAATCAAATGTCCATTTGATTAGACTACTTCTCTACCGATTGTGCATGTGTGATCGGTGTTTCATGAGGTAGTGAAGTATGTCAGGATGCACGACGCGTGCGGCGTCGAGCGTGTTCGCGCCTGCTCGCGTGATCTTCTAGCGGACCCACATGGGCACCTTATCGGCACTCTGGCAGCTACTCAGGCACAGCACGACAACTTTCCTCACAGACAGCTTGAAATCGACATGCGCCTCATGCCTTGTGGGTCAGCAAGGCCGGAGCTCAACTTCCATGATTATGTTCTTCTCGACCTATACCCAATGGCGTCTCACCGGCCTCCAGCTTCTGCCCATGCAAGGCTCAAGTCAGTCCAGCGTATCATTGGTCCATCAACCATGCTGCAGCCGTGCCACTCTTGTGCAGACACATTTGCCTTGCTAGAAGTATGAGCCCCTCCATATCTACGAATCCGTGCAGTGCACCCATATTGATGCGCGAAAACAATCGTCTCCCTGCGCCAGCCATGTACAAGCAGCTGGCTTCGCCGACAACGATTCGTGTTCTGCACGTTCATCCTGCGCCCGAAACAGATCCTCTCATTTGCAGCCTGGAGCATTGCGACATCGACAGCGATCCGGAGTATGAAGCTATCTCGTACGTCTGGGGCGACTCGGATCTGGCATGTTCAGTCATATGCGATTCCAATGTCATACCAGTGACTCGCAGTCTGCACGAAGCTCTCCTGCGTATTCGGTTACCGGATCAGCATCGAACAGTATGGATCGACGGACTGTGTATCAATCAGATTGACGCTATCGAGAAGTCACACCAGGTGCAGCTTATGCAACGTGTCTACCGCAATGCGTACCGGGTTCTAGTGTGGCTAGGTCCTGATCTTCATGGCGACGCCCGCGACGCATTCGATATCTGTTCCACATTGGGCCAGCGAGATATGAACGCTGAAGAGCTTAGGAGTTTGTTAACAAACATGAATCTGCGTTTGCACACATACCCTGGAATGTGGTACCCCGTCCACGCCCTGTGTATATGTCCATGGTGGGGGCGTGTCTGGATCATACAGGAATTCGCACTCGCAAAGGATCTGCTCTTCCTGTGGGGCGCGGAAGAGCTCCAATGGACACATCTCAAGCTGGCTATCAGCAACCTTCAAAAGCCAGACGTGATGTGCGAAGCGCCACACAAGTCTGGGATAGTCGAACCCATATCCCGATTGTCTGCAATCAAGGATCAGCGCTGCTACGCAGCGAGTTTCATGGGAACAATTCATACGGCCAGGAAATTCGAATGTTCAGACAATCGCGATCGAATCTTCGCGATCTTAGGCCTTGGATGCGGTGATGATCGTTGGGCAGCAGTAGACCCCGCTGGACAATCACTAGCTAACGCTACCATACCAGACTATACTCTAACTGTGGAGCATGTCTATCGACAATTTGCTATTCGAGCTGTGCAGCGAGGCTTGACGGAAGACATCCTCTTAGCAATTCAACATGGGTCACAGCTGGAACGATGGCGGCCAGGCGATACGCCGTCATGGTCACCACGTTGGGATTTGACCCTCTTTAACGACTTCCCATCCTGTCACAGGCTGCACGAAATCTGCAAGTTCGACGGAGTTGCCGGAGACAATGGCAGCTCGCTCACAGGATCCATTTCTGAGGGAATGCCTGTATTGCTATCGAATTTCGACACGCTCTCTATTGACACCCTCATCATATTGAGCACTACTTTGGATAAGATAGTCGCTCTCTCAGATTTCACGTCATTCCCGCACTTTATACACCCATGGTTCTTTTTAGATAGCTTCTGGGAAGAGCATGTCAGGCCTGCAGAAGCGACGAACGGATACAAAGCCGTCATGGAAGACTTATGCGAGGCCGCTACCTACCACATGACTTCCGAAAACCATGTCAGTGTTTTCTATGCGGCTCGTCAACAACTAGCCAAAATATCTTGGGAGGCACCACCTATTTATGCAAAACCCGGAGAGCATGGCATTTTGAGTTATGTAGCGCAGTCGCTGTTGAAGACGAGCGACATTGCATCTGCACAAGACCCATCCATACTGAATAAAGCGAAAGAGGCATATAGCTATCTTAAGAGGTTCTTTATCACCCGGAAGGGCTACATTGGAGTGTGTCCAGCCGCCGCTCAGTCTGGGGATCACGTCGCTCTGACAAGGAACACAGGCTGTCCTATGATCCT